AAGAGTGAGCTTTTGTGCATTGGCTAGGGTGGAATTCAAAACCACTTGTCTGTGTCACATCCTCTCACCTGCAGTGTTTAGCTGATGTTTTCATTGCTGGGATGAGACACAGCTGTCCCAGGGAGGGCTAGGCTGGGGACCAGCCCCACAGCTGGCTGCTCCAGGGCCAGCATTCATGGGTAAGCTGCAGGGCTTGGAGGCATCACACAATAGCTCCATCTAAACAGCTGGAGTTCACACCAGAGGAAATTCTTCAATTCTTTAATTGCTTCCTTTTCTAAGGACAAACAACTCTTCTGCCTTTTCTCACTTTCCATCAGAGCTCAGTACTCTGAAATTCTCAGTGTAGTTATCTTCACATCAGCCTTAGGCAGGGAAGGTGTGCTCTCCTTTAAAGTTTATAAAAGGGAGTCTTATCCAAAGCAGGTAATTTTCCAGAGTACCACAATGAACCTCGAGCTGAAGGGGGAACTGAATTTAGTCTCCCATATCCCAGAACTACTGCCCTGCTCTCCAGCTCTCAACAAAGCACAAAACCCTGTTACACAGCTCCTGAGGAGGGATGAGCTGACAATTCCAACTACTAGAAATTAACAGTTGTTGCCAGTGGCTACTGTTGCATCTAGCATTATTAAGGAGGGCAAAAAAATTTGTTGTTTCTAAGTGGGCATGGGTTTTGTTTTTATACCATATCTTTCATCTAAAATTCACAAGCCTTTCATATCTATCAGAAACATCTCATATTTTCACAGACAGCAATATAAGAAGGTTCATATGATAATCAAGAGAAGCACGGGCAGTTGAACAGATTACTGAGGGATAGAGCTGGGAACAGTCTGTAATGCATCATCCAATTGCCTTTTTTATCCTTTTTTAATCACTTATTTGTGTGGCAAAAGTCTCAGTCTAACCTGACCTAACACAAACTAAAACCCTACCCAAACCAAACCAAATTAAACTTTGAAAAAGTGCTGCTCATTGATTTTTTGATTATTTTCCATTTTCTTGCCTGGTTGAGCTGGTTACAGAAGTGTCAATGCACCAAGAAGGTGCAGCTATTTTTGGCTGTACACAGTAGGACCTGCACAGATATGTGAAAATTGAAAAAATACAGAAGTAAATCAACCAAATACACAGAGGCAAATATAATCAGTGTGGGAAAACCAATAGCCTAAACAATGTTACCAACTTTCTTACCTCTTAGATCCAGCTGTTAACTCAGGAAGAAATTATCTTCCCACTAGGACAAGTTCTAAAAAGATTATAACGTGACCATGGTAAGTCAACACAAACAGGAGAGCATGGTCCAGATTTGCCACAAGTGCACCTGGCACGTCCAACTATTCTGGGCTGCACCCACTTTGAGCACCTCTGAGCATTTTTATTCACAGTAGGTCCTGGAGCCAGCCCATGGACACGGGCCACATGTGGCCATCTTCTCCTTTTCTCTCCAAGGGGATATGTGTTAACTACTGCAGCAAATTCATGAGGTATAGCACTGCCAAGAAATGGGAGCCTAATTGCTGTGTTCTTTTAAAGAAGAAGGCATTAGTTAAAAAAATCACCTCCATTCAGTCAAATTACAGTCAATTATCATGGCCTTCAAGCCAAGACCTATTAGCTCTGAATCTAACTTTAATCAGTTACTGAAGCACACTGGAAATGTCATTCATTTTGGAAAAAAACAATATTATTACCTTTTACTCCTTAGTAGTCAAAAGGATTTTGAAACAAGATTAATGGGAGCAATTTTTTTCCTTCTGTCTGTAGCTTTTGAAGATTAACAACACTTCTTTATTTCAGAATAATAGTTACCTGGCAGTCTAGGGTCACTGGGCTGTCTTCAAGGCATCATTGCATTCACTTGCACAGGCAACTTTTATAGCCAAAATAGATTTTTTTCCCCCCGATGTCATCAAAGTACTGATTTGGACAAAGACAAACCCCTTAGGACAAAGGCAAATACTGAAATACAAGAAGCTGCTGGAACAAGTTACCTTTTTGATCCATGCAGCAGAGCTGTAATTTACATTTGGTTCTGTTTTTCCTCCTTATCTCCAGTGCTGTCAGAAGTTCCTTGATTCATTGTGGTGGCAATGGAAGCCCTGAAGCCCAAGGCAGCAGTGGTAAATGGGAGATGTTTGGGACTGACCCCAGGACACCAGTGTGGCCCAGGACAGGGCAGGGCTGCAGCCAAACACAGCCTTGCTCATGGGCAGCTTCAGGTCCACAGGAGCTTGTAACCAGGCCCCAGAATTATTTAATAGGGAGCCTGATTGGTGGGAAAGCAAGCAGATGTAACTTTTTAGCAATCTGATTTTTGAAACAACCTCAAATTACCCCATGCATGCAGGTCTTAACCAGTGCTGGTGAATCTGTACTTGCAGCTCAACAGATTTAGGGAGGCTCAAAGTTGCCTTTAAACATTTACACCTTTCTTAGGGAGGCAGATTCTGAAAACCTCCTCTCTCTGTAATACTGGGAATGATAGAGCAGCAGTGAGACCCAGGGTCAAAGCTTGTGACAAAGCCAGTGGAAATCCGGTGGGATCAGAGATCTGTGTCAGATACTCGTCCATGACCTCAACCCTAGCCCACTCAATTTGCTACACTGCAAATCTAACTCTGAAACTCAAAATGAAGACATCTCCAGAGGCTGAATAAGCAACACAAGTTTCCATAGCAGTTTTGCAGCCTCCCCAGTGCCTCCCCAGCACCCCAGGTCTTTGCAGAAGGGGATCCCTGTGGCCCTGCTGGCACACACTCACACCCTGAGCGTGCTGGCTGCCAACAGGGACCAAAGGTGGATGGGGAGCACCAGGCCCAGCCCTGCAGCCAGCCCATGATGCTGCAGGACTGCAAAGCTCAAGGAATCATTTCAAAAAGAGGCTCAGAAAAGGATCCTGCAGGAATTGTGCCCAGTCTCGTTACTGGAAATCTATTTGACGTAGTGAACAAACATGGAGACTTTTCCAGGAAATGTGTTTCTTTATTTAAATAAAATTAGTGCCAGTAGAAACAATAAACTTTAAATACATGAGACAATTATATACAACTCGATGTTAGGAATTATATACATCAGTTTTTTTACAGATACAAATACATTTATACCAAAAGTAAAGGACGAAGGAGAAAGCAATGGAAAATGTGACAACTTGTACATGTCAGTCTCATTTGGAAAGTTTCAGGATTCAAGTGATTCCAGGCAAAGTGCCAAACTTAATTTGGCTCCTTTCAAACTTAAAACAGCCCCTTTTAGAGTAAATCTACCAAAAAGCTTTATATGGTCTGATCCAAAGTTCAGTGAAGCCGATGGAAAAACTCCCGCTGCCTTCGGTCTGCCCCAATCAGCCCTTAGGAGCACAATGGAGCCTTTGTTCTGCTGTGCTCAGACAGACAGAGATCCCTGATCCTGCATCCATTAACCCTCTGAGCCCTCCCCGGAGCCAGCAGCACTGCACACTCTGGCTGCAGCTCATCTCTGCCCTTCTGCATTCATGTTTTTCGAGCTGTCTCTCAAGCTCTAATGCCAGTGGATAAATCACAGAGCTATTTTAGTGCAGGAAATATGTGGAGACATTTTGCAAATATTTTGCTGTGCAATGCTTTAGACTCAGGCTCTTCAGCCCTCATGCTTCCAAACTAATCAAAACACTGTAATAAGTTATTATAAAATATAAGGTATGATTGAAATATTAATTTTCTTCTTTGTATTAATTTTTACTTCTTGTAAAAGTGCAATAATTTAGCAACAAATTTCATGAGCATTTGAAAAATGTCACAGTACCATTAAACTGGGGGAGGGGGAAGTCTGTGGTGGTTTGAAAAACTAGTTACTAACAGCTTTATAGAAATGCATGTGTCACATGAGAGCTGATTAAAAAAAAAGATGTAACACAATGCTTACCTACACCGGCTTAAATAGAGCAGAAAGTCTAGATTCTTTAATGATGTAAATGGGTACAATTTTACTGACCTCAAACAGAGAATTTAACTCCAACAGAGAAACACAAAATCTTGTGCTGGTCCCTGTCTCAGCTGCTGATTTCAGTGGGGCCAGGAATTCACCCTTCCTAGGTTAAATTCCATTCAGAATTCCACCTCTTTTTGAAGGGGGCGTAACAGAGCAGCATCTGTTGGAGCCTTTCTGCGTCTTACAGCCTGTAACAAAGATCTTTGAACCTCTCCTTTAACTTACAGATCTTTGCCTTTAGCGACCAAAGGTACACATCTTTAAAAAACACAAAAGCAAAAAATGAAACCACCTTTCCTGTTAGTAACTGAGTCACAGGCTGGATTGCAGCAGAAGGTGGTGAACCTGACCCAGCCAGTGCATGAATAACTTCAGCAAAGACACAGAGAAGTGTCATGGGTCTGGAGCCAGGCTCTACAAACTGCACAGGAACTCAGTGCCTCTTTATTTCTGCCTTGTCTTTCAATCTTTCTGTACCTAAAGCCAGTCCCCAGCCATGCTGTAATCTCCCTTCAAGTACAGCATCAACAAATTTTCAGCTTTTGAGGCCTCATTGAGCAAATGTGCTGCTGGCTGTGGTTTGTCATAAGAAAAACACAGTAAGAGTATTTCTAGTCCATCACAGCTTTGTGTGAATGAGCATTACCCATCATCTTTAAGAACCAGGCAATTGCATGAGGGTAACTTCCCCAAACATTTCCCAGATATTTACAGAATTCTGAAATATGCAGAGACATGCCAGTAATAATTACCTCGTTAGAAAATACATATATATTCACCATGTTCTTAGTTTTCATAGTAAGAAATAATAATGGAAAAAATAAAATTAAGCAACCCAATAATGTGCAAGTCACACTTTAAAGTTGGGTACCACTGCTTCCTTGTCCTGCCAGCTCTCAGGAACACCTTGGGCCCAGGAGCACAGATACCTGTTCAGAGTTCATTGGAGAGCAGAAAAGCAGAGCCACAAGTTCTTGGTGGGAGCTCCACTCACACTTTGGCAGCTGATCAGGGGAGCCCTGCAAGTGCTAGGAGTTCTTCTGGAGGTTTTCCACAGAGCCCTCGCTGCTCTCGTTGAGGGGCGTTTCTGACACTTCCCCCAGCTCAGAATCCAGCACTTCCTCCTGGATGGTGAAGTGCACGTCTGGGGAGGAGGACTCGGAGCTCACGCTGCTGCCTTCCATGGAGCAGATGGCGCAGGACAGGGAGGGCACCATGCTCTCCTGCAGCATGTTCAGCATCGTGGGGATCTGCACGGATCTCAGCCCTGCCACGGCTGGTAGAGGCTTCACAGCTTCCCCCCACTCCCTCTCCTCATCTTTGTAGAGCAGAAGCAAATGGGATGACTTCTCTTTTCTTTTGGATTTCATGTAGCCAAGCATTATTCCTATCAGGAAGATCCCGTAGAAGGACATGACAATCAGAATGTAAAAATACTCATTGCTGTTGCTCTTCTCTGTGCTGGGGGATTCAGCATCAAGCATAGCTTGGGTCACATTTGCATGGTCCATCTTCAGCATGGAAAGAGTTTTACCAGAGCTAAGCCTAGAGGAGAATGTAAATGGATATGTAAGATCAAACTTCAGAGCAAAGGTGTAAAAGAAACACCTGGAAAAGTTTACCCCAAACTCTTCCTTATTCCTCGTAATTATAAGCTTGCAAACCCCACACCTGATTCAAGCTCTCAGTCTATTATACCTCTGCATTAGTACTGTCAGTGAATGAACTCTTATTCAGATACAGAAAACATTAAAAGAAAGAAAACACATAATATTAAATTATCTTGAATTCAATGCTGAATTATAAAACCCCAATCCATATGATTAAAAAAAGAAAATTATATAGAAATTCTCTGCTAGGCACTTAAATATAGTTTTGTACTACTTGATCATGTTTCCACGGTGGGGGAAAGTTAGAAGTATTATTTTGTTCAGTGATGCAGGAAAAAAAAAATAATCAAAAAGCAACTTACGCCAGTATGCAAATAATTCCTCCTTTTGCAAAGCTCAAGAGACCTTTCCTCTACCAAATGCTGGGTGTTCTGAAAACTTTCCTCTGCTGCAGTTGGAATAAATAGCTCTCAAGAAATGTTTCATCACGTGTTTTAGAGGCACAGTTTATAATAGTTTTGTGTTGGAGTCAACAGATGAACTTGAAGGATTGCAGTTCAACCCACTGAACTCTTAACAGCTGTGAAAAGAAAAAGACTTGGGAATTCAGAATTTACTCTTTACTAACCAGTTCCACACTGGCTCTTTCAGCCTGTGAATCTGCTCCTTTAACATCCCAGTTGCTAAATCTGACCTCTTGCCCTGAGAGCTGATACACAGAATGGAAAACCTGCAGATTGTTATTCTGTGTTTGTCATAACATATAGAAAAATATACATGTGAATTTTATAGCAGACACTACCAAGTTATTTACATGTCTGCTATACAGAGACTTCTCTAAAGAGACAGAGGAGGAAACAAGTTATTTGTTTGGTCAGTACTAGTGGCAAAGCTTTGGAGAGTGTGTGCGGAACAAAGTGGTGACTTTCAACTCACGCTGCAGCTCCACTTTGCCACAAGGTGAGGGGCTGGGGAGAGCTGGGCCCTGAGTCTGGAGTGAGTTTTGGGTGGATGGGTGCTGGTGCTGCCTAACTTTGGGCATCAAAGCAGAAACTGTAGGGTCTTGATTCTCCACATCATCACTGGAAGGGTGCAGACTCCTCCAGGGAGCAACTTGGAGCTCCTGAAGTGTTCAGCTGCATTTTGCCTCCCTAGAAGCAGCTAAGAGTTAATGCTGTGTGCAGGACATTATGCCTAAATAAAGGCCTGGGCCACTGAGTTAATGATGATTTAAGCACAAAGGGACCTTAGCAGTTCCTGGGCAGAGGGAAGCTCTCTGAGCCACTGCTGCAGGCTGCTGGGCAGAGCAGGACACCTCGCAGCCCACTGGGGAGTTTGGGTGCAGCCTGGGTTGCAGGGCCCACAGAGTTCCCAGTCATCAGCTCCGTGGCACAGGAGGCTCTGAGACCCCCTTCAACACGTAAGCAACAGCCCAGGCCATGGGAAGAAGGAGGCCCAGCTTGCACCTTGGGGATTTCATTTCCTTATCCTCTCCATCCCCGTTCCTCACACACAAAGCCCAATTAGTCAGGGCCCACATGTGAATGTCACCCCTTCTGCAAAGCTTCAAGGATGTTTATGTAACAGAACACTCCACTTCCAGAAAGCAGTGGACTGGTGCTGGAGTTTCCCAACGGTAGGTCTGGGGTTTTTTTCCCTGCAGTCACTTTTGGATTCTTTGCATAGACAGCAAATTCTTTTCCAAACTCTGCCCTTACAATCCCTCTGAGGTAAAGGCAGAGAGGATTAACTTCTCTTCACATGTAAGAAAAGGCAAGAGAGAGAAGTTAAGCAACTTTAGATGTAGTTGAGCATTCGAGAAAAGACAGGATTGCATCTGTGTTTGGAACCAGCATTTTCCATCATTTCTCTGAACGACTACAGAAAGAAAGGAAAAAATTACATTAGCCAGATTGCCCTCTCTGCACCTTAAAATAGAGGATCCTCCCCTTAGGATGTTGGTTTTATCTCCCTGTGCATTCCCATGTGATAGCTCAGGAGCTGTTGATGTTGGGCTAACGTCTACTGGGATTTCATCTGACAGAATCTGTCTGCAGCACCAGCTTGCCAAGTCTGAATTCTTCTTCCCTGTTCCCGACAAATTACGGAGCAGGCAACAAGAGCATATCAACTGTAGGCTAAAGCAGAACCCAGAGCAAGTCTCTGGATTTTCTAGCTAACTTTAGGGAATATTTACTTCACAACTTTCTCAGCTCCATGTGATATCTGCTCTCCCCATTCAGCTCTGGAAATTTGGGGGTTGAAAAATTAAAGACAACATGTCAGATTTTAGCAACACCTTCTCATGCAGGACTTTCACAGACTTGTGAGGAAGTGTCTTGCATTGTTGGGTCAATGAAAATTGGTTCAGTACAAGGAAAAATCCTTTCTCTCTGCCCATGAAACCCTCTTGGAAGTTGCTTGATCCCGGGAACAAAACCAACTAAAGCCTGTCATCAGTGTCACCCCTCACCTGGACACAAAGGCACAGCCAGGGGCACAGACAGCCCTGGGCTCCCAGCAGAGCAGGGGCAGACCAGCTCTTCTGCAGGCACCTGCATGTGCAAACAGACTCCTTTATTTGCTCCAAACCCTTGGGTTCTTCATGTAGGGGAAACTGTACAAAATTACCAAGAAGAACTGGAGCACCTAACTGGAATACAGGAATACTGCTGTATTGCATAGATTTATGCAATCCCCCAAAAGTTTAACTGAAAGATGACTGGGTTGCATAATTCTGCAGAGTTATTGACGAAAACTCTTTGCAACTATGTTTACTTTGGCTAGTTGATGACAGCTCTTCTCCATCTGTTAGCCCCTGGTTCTTAAAAACAGTTTAATTTTAAAAAGGCCTGCAAGGAATTCCTGAGCCTTCTATAGACTTGAAGAGGAGGGATAGAAAGACATTGGGGAATTATCACCTGAAAAACATATGCCACTTGCTTACTGATGCCATCAGTCAGCTTTCTCAAGCTGTACTCTGTAGAAACTATATTTTTTGTCTAAACACAAGACCTACAAAATTAAAAACTGGAGCTTTAGTTTGTGTTTCAAAACTATATTTGCTGAAAATTATATTGTAAAGCCATTGATCACAGCAAAAATTTTGCCTAATTTGAAATAACTTATTTTAAAGTTAAGCTTGCTAGCTACTTCTTTTTTGATGTCTCTTTCTTTCTTCCTTTCAGACCAATTATTTTCCCCAAACTCCAGAGAATTTTCCCTTAAGTTTCACCGACACATCTCTTATGCTTTCAGCAATTGCCACTCACCTGTTCCTCTCCACCTTCTTTGCACCAGTCCCAAACAAGGCTATAACATTTAAGAATAATCCTTGTGCTGCTGCTACCACCTTCCATATTCCCCCTTTGGAAAACATTCAGGCCAATAAAGCAGAGCAACAGCCAGGCACTCCAACAATGAAAAGGTCACAACATAGTTGTTGATGCCAGATTTTTTTTCTCAAGGTCCCTGTCTCCTAGAGAGCCTTTTGTGGCAGCAACCTCCGTCACCAAAGGACGCAAACGTTGAGGCTCGAGGCATCCCACGGGGCAGGAATTCACAACATGGCTTAAGGGATCATATAATGTGAGCCCTTTCTCCAAATAAAAATTTGAGGACAGTCAGAAAACTGAACAAAGACAGAATCTATTATGAAGACAACATGAAACCTCCTTAGAGACCCAGATGACTCTGCAGGCTGCCATGGAAAATATATGCCTAACCCTTCATTACGGGCATAGTCCGTGCTCTGATGCTGCATTTCTCTTTCTTGCCCCAGTTAGTGAGCTAATAAGAATAAAGACACCAAACAACTGTTAAAGGGCCAGCTCCTGTGGGAAGCTGAGCCTCTTTGATGAGTGTTTGCTGACAGGACCACTCTAAAGAATACCCAAGAATGTGCTTTTTTAGAGTTATCATCTGAAAAAAAAAGAAAAGAGAAACAGGAAGCACAGAGGAGTTGGGTTTTTTTCTTCCTGAACATTTAATGGAAGTAAATGTTTGATAATTTACTGCTAGAGGAAAAAGGAAAGGAGAGTTTTGCCATGCAAGTATTATTTTTGATTTACACCTTCCAGACACTACATTTGGCAAAGGACAACCAACCAATGGTGATCAAACAGATGATCAATATATTTTACTCATACATATTACTTCAATTAAAGTTGGAGCTGCTTTTGATACCATAAAGGAAGACATGATAAGATAGATGTTTGTGGTCCTGATCTGGTCTTGCATTTAAGGATGTGCCACTCTGAGATGTTCACACTGACTTTGAGTCCTGCTGCAAAACACACACCTCACTGAGCACCTGAGCCTAAGCCCCCTAAAGTTACTGGCACTGCCTCTCCTAAAACAAACATCAGCAGCTGCTCCTTTCGAGTCCTGTGCAGCTCAGTGAAGCCTGTGAGCGTGCTGGAATAAAGGCTCATTCAAAAGCAGCAGTACACACACCCCCAGAGCAGGCAGTGAGGGGCAGAAGCAGCACAAGCCCCATGCCTCCTCACTGTTAAGTGCAATAACAGGATGAAATTTATGACCTTTACTATGTGCTCTTAATGCCTCTATGCCTCATCAGTTCAGCCACTTAAGCACAATTAATCTGATAATACCTACAAATTTCTTGTGCTGGGAGGCACAGCATGGTAGCACCACCCAAAAAGGCAACAACCACTGTGGCCACAGGCACCAGGGCTGGGCTGGCATCTGAGCCACTGGCACATGGCTCCAGGTTCAGTGTCATTTTCCATCACTCTCCCTTATTTTTCATACTGCAGAAATAGATTACATTCTTCATAAACTTGACATGAGCAATTTCTAGAGGAAGATGGCAATTTCCTCACTGTCATCCATAATATACTGTGTTGCCATCTGGATGGCAAATGGGAGTAATGGTCTGATCTGTTATT